AAATTGTACATTATTTTCTTCATGTTATACATTATTCTTATTTGCTTCAAATTGTGCATTGTTTGCTACAAGTTATACATTATTTGCTTCAAGTTATACATCATTTGTATCACGTTATACTTTGCTTGCTTCAAGTTATACATTTTTGCTTCATGTTATATACTATTTGCGTGAGGTTATACATCAATTGATTCAAGTTATACATTATTTGCTTCAAGTTATTCATTACTTGCTTCAAGTTAATCATTTTTTACCTCAAGTTATTCACTATTTGCTTCAAGTTATTCACTATTTGCTTCACGTTATGCATTATTTGCTTCAAGCTATACGTTATTGGCTTCAAGTTATGCATTATTTGCTTCAAGTTATACATTATTTACTTAAAAGTATACATTATTTGCTTCAAGTTATACATTATTTGCTTCAAGTTATACATTATTTACTTAAAAGTATACATTATTTGCTTCAAGTTATACATTATTTGCTTCAAGTTATACATTATTTGCTTCAAGTTATACATTATTTGCTTCAAGTTATACATTATTTACTTAAGAGTATACATTATTTGCTTCAAGTTATACATTATTTGCTTCAAGTTATACATTATTTACTTAAAAGTATACATTATTTGCTTCAAGTTATTTATTATTTGCTTCAAGTTATACATTATTTGCTTCAAGTTATACATTATTTACTTAAAAGTATACATTATTTGCTTCAAGTTATACATTATTTGCTTCACGTTATACATTATTTGCTACATGTTATTAGTAACATAGTGTGAAGTAACCATCTATACTTCACACAACCATCATCACTCTAACCATCCTTACTACTCACAACCATCATCACTGTAAACGTAATCACTGTTACCATCTTTATTACTTACCATCAACTCAGTCACCATCCTCACTATCCGGGCATCGCCGGTTATTCCCCATATACAACTTTGATCATAATATCAATACTTCACTATTCTTCATCACCCTCCTTAGTCTTCTTTACCTTCCCTACCCTTCACCACCTTATCTACCCTTCACCACCTTCCTTCCCCTTCACCACCTTCCTTCCCCTTCACCACCTTATCTACCCTTCGCCACCTCATCGACTCTTCACCACCTTATCTACCCTTCACCACCTTATCTACCCTTCACCACCTTATCTACCCTTCACCACGTTATCTACCCTTCACCACATTTGTTACCCTTCACCACCGTCTCTACTCTTCAGCACCTATTTACCTTTCACCTTCCCTACCTTTCACCCCTTAACCTTCCCTACCCTTCACCTTCTTTACTCTTCAACACTTTCCCTTCATCGATGTAACCATTCCCACTAAACACTATCGTCATCAATTAATAAACATAAGAGAAGGGAGGTAATTATAAGGGGAAGGCGCCAAGCTATTACGACTATATAGCACTGGGAAGGGGTCAGTATAAGGGTATGGTAAGGGACGAGGGGAAGGAATAGTGCCCAGTCACTTGGACAGTAGGGGATTGAACGCCGACCTGCATAAAGCGAGACCGTCTCTCTACCGTCCAGCCCAATACTCGTTGAATAGTTGTTGAATTAGCTGGTATTCCAAGTAGGAGGGTGGTGGAGGCCAGTGGTTGGTAGGCTGAGGTTAGGGAGTGGTAGAGCGAGGTCAGTGTTTAGTAAATCACCTGATTACCTCTGAGGCTGTTAGCCTTTGAGCCCATCAGGGCCACATAGTTATCAGAGCCAGAATAATATGGTAACTAGTAAAAACTTGAATTCTTCCTTGAAGGCTTCTGTTGTTGATCCATTGATATTTCTTATATTTCCTGGTTGGAGATTGAAAAGTCGTGGCCCTCTTACGTTTACACTGACCTCTCTAATAGAGTTAGAAGCTCCCTGACTTTTCAGAGGATATATTTTACACTTCGTACCATAACTCTTACTTAAGTATGTGGAAATTTTATTGTGAAGGTTTGGAACCTGACCTTCCAGTATTTTCCATGTGAAAATTCTGACAAATTTACCTTTGCTTCGTTCTGAAGAGTACAGTGTGTGTACTATCAGGAGGTCCTAGTCGTTGACGGGCATACTAATTATTTTTGGGCAGAAAATAATCTCTGCATGATGTCAAACTCTGTTGTCTCGCCAGTGTTGCAAGGGAACGTGAGGACCAGTGCGTTGTGGAGGACAGTGGGTGATGGGGAGCAGTTAGTGGAGGAGGGCAGTGGGTGATGGGGAGCAGTTAGTGGAGGAGGGCAGTGGGTGATGGGGAGCAGTTAGTGGAGGAGGGCAGTGGGTGATGGGGAGCAGTTAGTGGTGGAGGACAGTGGGTGGTGGAGGACATTGGGTGGTGGATGGCCGTGGATGGTGGAGGGCTGTGGGTGGTGGAGGGCTGTGGGTGGTGAAGGGCAGTGGGTGATGGGAGCAGTTAGTGGTGGAGGACAGTGGGTGGTGGAGGGCCGTGGGTGGTGGAGGGCTGTGGGTGGTGGAGGGCTGTGAGTGGTGGATGGCTGTGGGTGGTGAAGGGCAGTGGGTGGTGGAGGGCTGTGGGTGGTGGAGGGCCGTGGGTGGTGGAGGGCAGTGGGTGGTGGAGGGCTGTGGATGGTGGATGGCCGTGGGTGGTGGAGGACAGTGGGTGGGGGATGGCCGTGGGTGGTGGAGGGCCGTGGGTGGTGGAAGGCTGTGGGTGGTGGATGGCCGTGGGTGGTGGAGGGCCGTGGGTGGTGGAGGGCCGTGGGTGGTGGAGGGCTGTGGGTGGTGGAGGGCAGTGGGTGGTGGAGGGCCGTGGGTGGTGGAGGGCATTGGGTGGTGGAGGGCCGTGGGTGGTGGAGGGCATTGGGTGGTGGAGGGCAGTGGGTGGTGGATGGCCGTGGGTGGTGGAGGGCAGTGGGTGGTGGAGGGCTGTGGGTGGTGGATGGCCGTGGGTGGTGGAGGGCAGTGGGTGGTGGAGGGCCGTGGGTGGTGGAGGGCTGTGGGTGGTGGAGGGCTGTGGGTGGTGGAGGGCAGTGGGTGGTGGAGGGCTGTGGGTGGTGGAGGGCATTGGGTGGTGGAGGGCTGTGGGTGGTGGAGGGCTGTGGGTGGTGGAGGGCTGTGGGTGGTGGATGGCTGTGGGTGGTGGAGGGCATTGGGTGGTGGATGGCAGTGGGTGGTGGAGGGCTGTGGATGGTGGATGGCCGTGGGTGGTGGAGGGCTGTGGGTGGTGGAGGGCTGTGGGTGGTGGAGGGCATTGGGTGGTGGAGGGCTGTGGGTGGTGGAGGGCTGTGGGTGGTGGAGGACAGTGGATGGTGGATGGCTGTGGGTGGTGGAGGGCTGTGGGTGGTGGAGGGCTGTGGGTGGTGGAGGGAATTGGGTGGTGGAGGGCAGTGGGTGGTGGAGGGCTGTGGGTGGTGGAGGGCTGTGGGTGGTGGAGGGGTGTGGATGGTGGAGGGCAGTGGGTGGTGGAGGGCAGTGGGTGGTAGAGGGCAGTGGGTGGCGGAGGGCAGTGGGTGATGGCGGGCAGTGGGTGATGGCGGGCAGTGGGTGGTGGAGGGCAGTGGGTGGTGGAGGGCAGTTGGTGGTGGAGGGCAGTGGGTGGTGGAGGGCAGTGGGTGGTGGAGGGCTGTGGGTGGTGGAGGGCTGTGGGTGGTGGAGGGCTGTGGGTGGTGGAGGGCATTGGGTGGTGGAGGGTAGTGGGTGGTGGAGGGCAGTGGGTGGTGGAGGGCAGTGGGTGGTGGAGGGCAGTGGGTGGTGGAGGGCAGTGGGTGGTGGAGGGCAGTTGGTGGTGGAGGGCAGTTGGTGGTGGAGGGCAGTGGGTGGTGGAGGGCATTGGGTGGTGGAGGGCCGTGGGTGGTGGAGGGCATTGGGTGGTGGAGGGCAGTGGGTGGTGGATGGCCGTGGGTGGTGGAGGGCAGTGGGTGGTGGAGGGCTGTGGGTGGTGGATGGCCGTGGGTGGTGGAGGGCAGTGGGTGGTGGATGGCCGTGGGTGGTGGAGGGCTGTGGGTGGTGGAGGGCAGTGGGTGGTGGAGGGCTGTGGGTGGTGGAGGGCTGTGGGTGGTGGAGGGCATTGGGTGGTGGAGGGCTGTGGGTGGTGGAGGGCAGTGGGTGGTGGAGGGCTGTGGGTGGTGGATGGCTGTGGGTGGTGGAGGGCATTGGGTGGTGGATGGCAGTGGGTGGTGGAGGGCTGTGGATGGTGGATGGCCGTGGGTGGTGGAGGGCTGTGGGTGGTGGAGGGCTGTGGGTGGTGGAGGGCATTGGGTGGTGGAGGGCTGTGGGTGGTGGAGGGCTGTGGGTGGTGGAGGACAGTGGATGGTGGATGGCTGTGGGTGGTGGAGGGGCTGTGGGTGGTGGAGGGCTGTGGGTGGTGGAGGGAATTGGGTGGTGGAGGGCAGTGGGTGGTGGAGGGCTGTGGGTGGTGGAGGGCTGTGGGTGGTGGAGGGGTGTGGATGGTGGAGGGCAGTGGGTGGTGGAGGGCAGTGGGTGGTAGAGGGCAGTGGGTGGCGGAGGGCAGTGGGTGATGGCGGGCAGTGGGTGATGGCGGGCAGTGGGTGGTGGAGGGCAGTGGGTGGTGGAGGGCAGTTGGTGGTGGAGGGCAGTGGGTGGTGGAGGGCAGTGGGTGGTGGAGGGCTGTGGGTGGTGGAGGGCTGTGGGTGGTGGAGGGCTGTGGGTGGTGGAGGGCATTGGGTGGTGGAGGGTAGTGGGTGGTGGAGGGCAGTGAGTGGTGGAGGGCAGTGGGTGGTGGAGGGCAGTGGGTGGTGGAGGGCAGTGGGTGGTGGAGGGCAGTTGGTGGTGGAGGGCAGTGGGTGGTGGAGGGCTGTGGGTGGTGGAGGGCAGTGGGTGGTGGAGGGCTGTGGGTGGTGGAGGGCTGTGGGTGGTGGAGGGCATTGGGTGGTGGAGGGTAGTGGGTGGTGGAGGGCAGTGGGTGGTGGAGGGCAGTGGGTGGTGGAGGGCAGTGGGTGGTGGAGGGCAGTTGGTGGTGGAGGGCAGTGGGTGGTGGAGGGCTGTGGGTGGTGGAGGGCAGTGGGTGGTGGAGGGCTGTGGGTGGTGGAGGGCTGTGGGTGGTGGAGGGCATTGGGTGGTGGCGGGTAGTGGGTGGTGGAGGGCAGTGGGTGGTGGAGGGCAGTGGGTGGTGGAGGGCAGTGTGTGGTGGATTTAGTGTGGTGGGTGGAAGGGACATTCCTCGGGAGGGATGCAGTGAGGGTAGTCGGGGTCCGTGTTGAAGACCTTGTCTCCTAAACAGTCACCAACTATGGCTTGCAGTCCGACGTACTGACAGTCGAAGTACTGAGACTCACATGTCTTGCACTTGGGAAAAAAACCCACTGACGTACACGTCATAGAATCCTGGCAGTTATTATTCGTGCCACATAGTGGGGTACAAGCGTCGCCAGCCACACAATGACCTGCTGTTGGGTCATACATTTCTCCTGCAGGGCAGGAGAAATGATTCGCACTGTTGACTTCTCCAGCGGTTTGACAGAAGTAGTACATATTGCAGTCGTACGGGTCGGGTATCTCTGTGATATAGTTAGGGCAGTAAGCAATACACAGGTCGCAGCATACGTCTTGGTTAGACATACAATTAATGCCATCAAAATAGGGTGTGGCAGCGGGACAGTCAAAGGGCCCCTGAATGTCTCCGTTTTGGCAATGATAGAACCTGCTGCAATTATTTTTATCTACGATCCTATCCAAATTGCTCTTGCATACTAGATGGCAAGGTTTTGCAACGCATACATCCCAGTCACATGAAAGTGATGGTACACAATCTGGGGGATTTGCAATTTCGCTGAAAAAACCGCCAGGTATGCAAGGTAAAGAAGTGTCCGAAGGGATCCCATCTCTCAAACAGACATAATACTTAGTGCAATCATAAGGATCCTTGACTTTATCCCCTGAGGCCTTGCCGGAACAATTTGGTTCACAGACTCCAGCAGCGAGACCACAGAGCAGCGCCGCCACCTGCAACAGACACCCGCCAGGTTAATGTTCCTGCTGAAACTACCACTAATAACACATGTTAAAATATATCAAAGTTTATCTTGAGCTCGAAATATAACTACTACAAATAACAAACATTTTTGAGAAACATTTACAGGTAAATATTATTATTATAGTTGTCAGTGTTGTTATTGTTATCAGTCTTCTTTTAGTTATAAGTGCTGTTATAATTGAAAGTGTTGTTAATGTTGTCAGTGTTATTTCAGTTATAAGTGTTGTTGTTTTCAGACTTTGCCCGAACTGCTAAGCGTATTAGTGGCTTTAGGTATTGTATGTACTAGCTATATATGTAAATCCATCATTTTGTTTGTAACTCATCATCTATGTATGTACTTTTACCTGAATAAAAATTTGAATTTGAATTTTGAGTATTGCTATACTTGTCAGTGTTACAATTGTCAGTTGTTATAGTTGTCAGTGTTGTTGTAGCTATCAACGTTGTTATAACTGTATTGTTATAGTTGTGAACTGTTATCGCAACTCACTATATCACTAAAAATTGTTAGTGATATAGTTGTCAGTGTTGTTATAGCTGTCAGTGTTATAGTAGTCAGTGTTGTTATAAATGTCAGTGTTGTTATGGTTGTCAGTGAAGTTGTGGTCAGTGTTGTTATAGTTATCATTCCCGTTAATGTTGTTATAGTTGTCAATGTTTTTATAGTTACAAGTGTTGTTTTAGGTATCGGTGTTGTTATAGCTGTCAGTGTTGTTATAGTTGTCAGTAGTGTTATAGTTATCAATGTTGTTATGGTTCTCATAGTTGTTATAAAAGTCAGTGTTGCTATAATTATCAGTGTTTTTATAGTTGTTTGTGCTGTTATAGTAGTCAGTGTTGTTTTAGATATTAATGTTATAGGTGTTTGAGTTGTTATTGTTGTCATTGTTGTTTTAGTTGTCAGTGTTGTTAAAGTTGTCTGAATTGTTATAGTTGTCAGTGTTATAGATGTAAGAGTTTTTTTTAATAACTGCCAGTGTTTGTATAGTTGCCAATGTTGTTATAGTTGTCAGTGATATAATTGTCAGTGTTTGTATTGTTGCCTGAGTTGTTATAGCTACCAGTATTGATATAGTTGTCCATTTTTTTTATAGTTGTTAGTGTTATTATAGTTGCCAGTGTTGTTATAGTTGTCGGTGTTGTTATAGTTGTCAGTGTTGTTATTGTTGTCAGTATTGTTATAGTTGTCAGTATTGCTATAGTTGTCAGTGTTACTATAAATGCCAGTGTTGTTATAGTGGCCAATGTTGCTATGTTTTTCAATGATATAGGTGTCAGTGTTATAAGTGTTAGTGTTGTTATAGTTGTTAGTGTTATAGTTGTAAGTGTTTTTGTAGTTGTCAGTGTTGTTATTGTTGCCATTGTTATAGTTTTGAGTATTGGTGTATTTGTCAGTTGTTATAGTTATCATGTGTTGTTACAATTGTCAGTGTTATAGTTGTCATTGTTGTTATAATTGGCAGTGTTATTATAGTTATCAGTGGTATGGTTGTTAGTGTTGGTATTTTTGCCAGTGTTGTTATTGTCAATGTTGTTGTAGTTGTCAGTGTTGTTATAGATGTTGGTATAGTTATTAGTGTTATAATTGAGAGTGTTGCTATAATTATGAGTGTTGTTATATTTATCAGTGTTGTTATAATTATCAGTGCTATAGTTGTCAGTGTTATAATAAATTTAAGAGTTCATATAGTTGTTATTGTAATCAGTGTTCTTATAGTTGTCAATGTTGTATTTGCTGTAAATGTTGATATTTTTGTCAGTGTTGTTAAAGTTTTCAGTTATATAACTGTCAGTGGTATAGTTGTCAGTGTTGTTACCGTTGTCAGTATTGCTATTGTTCTCAGTGTTATTTCTGTCAGTGGCATATTTTGTCATCTTTTCATTGTTTCCTGTTATGTCTTAGTTGGCAGTGTTGTTATAATTATCAGTGTTGTTATAATTATCAGTGTTATTACAGTTGTTAGTGTTTTAAAAGGTGTCAGTGTTGTTATAGTTGTCATTGTTATAGGTATCAGTGTTGTTACAGTTGTCGGAATTTTTAGAGTTGTCAGATATTGTACAGTTGTAAGTTTAGGTAACGTTGTCATTGTTATAGGAATCGGTTTTGTTACAGTTGTTACAGTTGTCATTGTTTGTACAGTCGTCAGTGTTATAGTAGTCAGTCTTGTTAAAGTTGCCTGTGTTGATATAGTTGCCAATGTTGTTATTTTTTCAGTGTTGTAATTGTTGTCAGTGTAGGTATTGTTATCAGTGCTCTTTAGTTATAAGTTTTGCTATAATTCTTGTTGTTGTCAGTATTGTTAAAGTTGTCAGTTACTGTAGTTGTCGGTGTTATTATAGTTATCAATGTTGTTATAGTTGTTAGTATTGTGAGTTGCTATAATTGTTAGAGTTATTGCTGTCAGTGTAATTATAGCTGTCAGTGTTAAAGTTGTCAGTGTTGTTATAATTAGCAATGTTGTTATAGTTGTCATTATCGTTATAGATGGAAATGTTGTTATTGTTGTCAGTGTTTATATAGTTACCAGTGTTGTTATAATTCTCGGTGTTTTAAATAGCTGTCGGGATTGGTATAGTTGTCGGTAATGTTATTGTTGTCAGTGTTGTTATTGTTCTCATCATTGTTATAGTTGTCAGTGTTGTTATTGTTCTCATCATTGTTATAGTTGTCAGTGTTGTTATTGTTCTCATCATTGTTATAGTTGTCAGTGTTGTTATTGTTCTCATCATTGTTATAGTTGTCAGTGTTGTTATTGTTCTCATCATTGTTATAGTTGTCAGGGTTTTTAAAGTTGTATTTGGTATAGTTATATATTTTATTATACTTGTTGGTGTTGTTGTTATAGTTGTCGGTGTTGTTATAGTTGTCAGTGTTGTTATTGTTGACAGTATTGTTAAAGTTACAGTGTTTGAGTTGTAATAGATGTTATAATTGCCAATGTTGTTATAGTTGTTAGTGTTATAATTATCAGTGTTTGTATTGTTGCCTGTGTTGTTATAGTTGCCAGTAGTGTTATAGTTGTCAATTTTTATAGTTGTTAGTGTTATTATAGTTTTCAGTGTTGTTATAGTTGTCGGTGTTGTTATTGTTGTCAGTATTGCTATCGTTGTCAGTATTGTAATTGTTGTCAGTGTTATAGTATTGTTATATACTATATAGCAATACTATATTGTATATAGTATTGATTAAAGTTACTATAGTTGCTAGTGCTGGTATAGTTGTCAGTGTTGTTATTATTTTCTGTGTTATAGGTGTCAGGTTTACAGGTGTCATAATTTTTTATAGTTGTCAGTTTTGTTATAGTTATTATATGTGTTATTATAATTGTCAGCATTGTTATTATCAATGTTGTTTTAGTTCTCAGTGGTATAGGTGTAAGTGTTGCTGTAGTTGTCAATGTTGTTAGTTTTGTCATTGTTATAGTTTTGAGCATTGGTATAGTTGTCAGTTGTTATATTTATCGTGTGTTGTTACAGATGTCAGTGTTATAGTTTTTATTGTTGTTATAATTGGCCGTGTTGTTATAGTTGTCACTGTTGATATAGTTATCAGTGTTGTTATAATTATCAGTGTTGTTATAGTTATCAGTGTTCTAGTTATTAGTGTTGTTATTTTTGCCAGTGTTTTTTTTTTTTTTGCAGGGATATTCCTGCGCGGGCCCTAAGCCTCTGGCTGGCCCACTAAGTGTTGCTTGTTTCTGTTTTACTTGGGCGGAGTATGAGTATTTATGACTCGTATGGTCGCTTCTGTAAGATTTTGCCATATGTGTTTAACAACTTCTGCTCTGTTGAATCTAAGTTGAAATCTTAATGGGGTTGTAACTGTGCACTGTGTTAGATAATGTTCCAGTGGTCTGTCGGGCATTTCTCCACAGTGTTGACATTTCCTCTCATCTTCCGGAACCTGTAACCTGTTCATCGTTAAAGTTGTCGGAAAAATAGTTGCCAGTGATGTTATAGCTGTCAGTGTTATTGTTTTCAGTATTGTTATAATTGTAATGTTGTTATAGTTGTAAGTGTTGATATCGTTGTCAGTGACGTTTTTGTTGTCAGTGTTTCTATTGTTGTCAGTGTTGTTGTTGAGTGTTTTTTTTGTTGTCAGTGATTTTTTGTCGGTGTTGTTATAGTTGTCTGTGTTCTTATTGTTCGTATAATTGTTTCTGTTGGTCTTGTTTTCAGTGTTGTTATAGTTATCATTGTTTTTATGGTTTTCAGTGTTTTTATAGTTGTCATTGTTGTAAAGTTGTCAGTATTCACCTAGTTGTGCTGGCGGTGGTTGAGCTTTGGCTACAAGTACCGCCTCTCAACTGTAAAGCAACTGGTGTACAGTTTCCTGAGCCTACTGGGCTCTATCATATCTACATTTTGAACTGTGTATGTAGTTTGCCTCCACCACATCACTGCCTAATGCATTCCAACCGTTAACTACTCTGACACTGAAAAAGTTCTTTCTAACGTCCCTGTGGCTAATTTGGGTACTCAGTTTCCACCTGTGTCCCCTTGTTTGCATACCACCCGTGTTAAGCAGTTTATCCTTATCTACCTTGTCAATTCTTCTGAGAATTTTGTAGGTTGTGATCATGTCTCCCCTAACTCTTCTGTCTTCCAGTGACATGAGGTGCATTTCACACAGCCTTTCTTCATAACTCATGCCTCTTAGATCTAGAACCAGCCTAGTGGCATACCTCTGAACTCTTTCCAAGGTACGGGCTCCATGCTTGGGCCGCATTCTCCAGGATTGGGCTTACATATGTGATATACAAGGTTCTGAATGATTTCATACACAAGTTCCTGAAGACAGTTCTGATGTTAGCCAGCCTTGCATACGCCGTCGATGTTATTCTTTTTATGTGAGCTTTAGGAGACAGGTTTGGTGTTATATCAACTCCAGGACCTTTCTCGCTGTTAGTTTCGTGAAGGACTTTATCTCCCATTCTGTATCCAGTGTCTGGCCTCCTATTTCCTCTCCCCCCCCTAGTTTCATTAACTTACATTTACTTGGGATGAACTTTAGAAGTCATTAGTAGGACCAGTCATTCAGTTTGTTTAGATCATCTTGTAGCCTCATACTATCTTCCTCCGTTTTAATCCTCCTCATAATTTTTGCTTCCTCCGTAAACATTGAGAGGAACGAGTCTATTCCTTCTGGGAGATCATTTACATATATCAGGAACAGTATAGGTCCAAGAACAGATCCCCGATGGACTCAACTGATAACGCCTTGCCACTCCGAGACCTCGCCCCTCACAGTGACTCGCTTTCTTCTCTTGCTTAAGTACGCCCTTATCCTGTGGAGTACCTTCCCTTTCACTCCTGCCTGCATCTCCAGTTTGTGCACCAGTCTCTTATGCGGTACTGTGTCAAAGGCTTTCTGGCAATCCATAAATATGCATACTGCCCACCCCTCTCTTTCCTTCCTGATTTTTGTTGCCTGTTCATAGAATTCAATTAATCCTGTGAGGCATGACTTGCCATCCCTGAACCCATGCTGATGTTGTGTTACATAGTTCTTTCGCTCCAGATGTTCCACTTTTTTTACCAATCTTCTCCATCAACTTGCATGGTAGGCAAATTACGGACACTGACTTGTACTTGTGCCTCCTGTCGATCACCCATCTTGTATATCGGGACTGAATTAGCTGTCCTTCAAATTTTTCTTAGTGCACCTGTTACCTGTCATTTGTTATACACTATGGAGAGTGGCATGCACAGTGCTTCTGTTCCTTCCTTTAGCATCCAAGTTGAGATACTATTCGGGCCTATAGCCTTTGTCACAGCCAACTCTAGCAAAATCTTCCTTACATCCCCACTAGTAATTTCAAAATCCATAAGTGGTGCCTGGTTAACTATTCCCTCTCCTATCTCTGGAACTTCTCCTTGCTCTAATGTGAAGACCTCCTGGAATTTCTTATTGAATTGTTCGCACACTTCCTTGTCGTTTGTAGTGAATCTGTCTGCCCATATCCTCAGTTTCATTATCTGTTCCTTCACTAGTGTTTTTCTTCTGATGTGGCTGTGCAGCAAATTTAGATTGGGTCTTTACCTTCCTTGCTATGGCATTTTCGTATTGCCCTTCTGCCTCTCTTCTCTCCCTGACATATTCATTCCTGGCACTCTGGTATCTTTCTCTATTCTCAAGGGTCCTGATATTTCTACTGTTTCTCCATGCTCCTGTACTTTGTTGCTTTGTTAGCTTACATTTCAGATTAAACCATGGTTTCTCATTTGCATTTCGTTTTTTTTTTACATTTTGACCAGAACAAACTTTTCTGCGGCTTCCTTACACTTCTGCGTGATGTAGTCCATCATGTCTTGGGCAGTCTTTCCCCTGGGCTCTGTTCCCCTTGTTATATCTGTTAGGAATTTTCTTATCACCTCATAATTTAACTTTGGGAATTCCAGCCTTTTGTTTTCAGGTCCCTTCCTTGAGTACATTAAGTCTTCTTCGACCAGATACTCAAACGTCCTACTGTGACCTCGAAAGCGATTTCCCTTTGTCGGAGTCGTTCAAAGTGAAGACTAGGTCGAGTCTCGCTGGTTCATCGTTTCCCCTCATTCTTGTAGGTTCCCTGACATGCTGTCTTAAGAAGTTTTTGTCGCCACCTCCAATAGTTTAGCTCTCCATGTTTCCTCACCTCGATGCGGTTCCTTGTTCTCCCAGTCTATCATTCCATGATTGAAGTTCCCCATGATTAGCAGATGAGATCGATTTCTATAGGCAGCAGAAACTACCCTCTCAATTATACTGTTAACTGCCATGTTTTTTTCTGTCATACTCTTGCCTAAGTCTTCTGTCATTTGGTGGAGGGTTATATATCATCGCTACTCTTCGTTTTCCCATCATCATGGTGCTTGTTATGTATTCTCTGAATCCATTGCAGCCCAGGATAACCATCAAACTCCATTCCTTTCTCATTAGTAGAGCCAATCTGCCTCCTCCTCTTCCTTCCCTCTCCTTCCTTATTACAGTTCAGTTCTGAGGAATCACCACATTCGTTATGATTCATGAGAGTTTTGTTTCCACGAGTGCAATTATATCCGGGTACACTTCTTGTGCTCTTTCCCTAAGTTTACTTGCCACGTTTGTAATCCCCTTTTATGTTCGAGTACATCACCTTGAACCTGACTCTCTTCTGTTCATCTTACGTTTCTGTTTATTTCACTGGAGTAGGGAAACAGGGAAGGCCTGTAATGGGAGGGCCTATGAAGGGAGACCTGGGGGATCTGGGGTGTGAAGGGCTGGGAGGATCTGGTATGGAAAGGGTTGGGGCGATGGAAGGGGTTGGTGGGGTGGGGGATAAGGGAAGGTTTGAGAGGGTGGGGGAGAGAAGGCTTGTGGAGTGGGGGAGAAAGGGGGACTTGGGGTAATAGAAAAGGAGTGAGGGCTTGGGGGGTGGGGAAGAAGGGAGGGCTTGGGGGTGGGGAAGAAGGGAGGGCTTGGGGGTGGGGAAGAAGGGAGGGCTTGGGGGAGGTGTGAGAGGTACTCGCCTAGTTGTGTTTGCGGGGGTGGAGCTCTGGCTCTTTGGTCCCGCTTCTCAACCGTCAATCAACTGATGTACAGCGTTCTGAGCCTACTGGGCTCTGTCATATCTACATTTGAAACTGTTTATGGAGTCAGTCTCCACCACATCACTTCCTAATGCATTCCATTTACTAACTACTCTGACACTGAAAAAGTTCTTTCTAATGTCTCTGTGGCTCATTTGGATACTCAGCTTCCACCTGTGTCCCCTTGTGCGTGTGCCACCCAAGTTAAATAATCCATCCTTGTCCACCCTGTCAATTCCCCCTGATAATTTTGTATGTGGTGATCATGTCTCTCCTAGCTCTTCTGTCTTCCAGCGACGTGAGGTGCAGTTCACGGAGTCTGTGCTCATAACTCATGCCTCTTAGTTCTGGGACTAACCTAGTGGCATACCTCTGAACTTTTTCCAGCTTCGTCTTGTGCTTGACTCCATGCTGGGGCTGCATACTCCAGGATTGGCCTTACATATGTGGTATACAAGGTTCTGAAGGATTCCTTACACAGGTTTCTGAAAGCAGTTCTGATGTTAGCCAGCCTCGCATAGGCCGCTGATGTTATTCTTTTGATGTGGGCTTCAGGAGACAGGTTTGGCGTCATATCAACTCCCAGATCCAGATCAGGTGGGAGGGCTTAGGGGGTGTGGTAGAAGAGAGGCCTTAGGGGGGTAGGAGAGAAGGGAGGGCTTAGGGGTGGGGGAGAATAGAGGGCTTAAGGGGGATGATTTAGAAGGGAGGGCTTGGGGTGGGTAGAAGGGAAGGTGTGGGGAAGAATGGAGGGCTTGGGGTGGGTAGAAGGGAAGGTGTGGGGAAGAATGGAGGGCTTGGGGGGAGGGGGAGAAGGGAGGACTTGGGAGGTGGGGAAGTCTTGGGGAGGTTGGCATAGGTGGCCACTTAGTGGGGGGCTGGCAGAGGTTTAGGCAGGTAGGGTTTCTATTGGGTAGAAATTGGGGGTAATGCTTCTCTTACTGGGGCTGTTGAACTGCCTGTGGAAGGTACCCCCACTCCCCTCTAGGATTGTAGGGTTCAGGGCTGTGGTTCCCTGAGTCCTTTCTCTCACTTTGCACTCCGTCCTCGCTACTGCTACCCCTCTCCTCTCCTCCTTTGTCATATCCCTCTGCAGGAATTCCATTTTGAACTTCGGTACATTGCATAGTATGCTCTTCCTCGCTAAAATGTCCTCTTTATTGTATTCTCGCTTGTAAATACCACTTTTTCCAATCGTCCTTGTGGTTCTGGCCAAGCCTGAAAAACTTTTCTATATTATGTTCATTCCTCACCATCTCTACCCCTTTAAGGATCTCTTTAACTGAAGCTTTGTCATTATCTCTCTGCTCTACTGGACTGACCCCTACTTGTTCCATAATAACTACTATGACAACTGCTCTTTTCCTCTCTATCAGCCGGCTAGTTCATCTTGCTGCTTCCTGAGAAGTAGCAACTTTCATGGCAATTTCTTTTACTGTGGACATAGCTCTAGGTCTCTTTCTAGGTATATCGGCAAATGAGGGTTGTAATGTAGAAGTCCCTTCTAAAGATACATTACCAGCTTCCTGACAGATAGTTCGTGACTGGTATTGAGGAGGATACTCTTTCAGAATTTTTATCTCCTCATTTGCTTCCCTTCAGCTCATTCTGCAGGTTGGTTAATTTCTCCCTCATTACCCTTAGTTCTGCACTGATTTGGCTCCACATGTGAACAATTGCCTCCTTAAACGAGTCATCTTGTCCCTCACCTCTCTCTGTGTTTTGGTGTCTCCCTGTCATGTTTGTTCCCTATTCGAATGCTCCAATCCATTGTATTCACCAAGTTGTATTCACCTAGTTGTGCTTGCGGGGGTTGAGCTCTGCTTTTTCGGCCTGCCTCTCAACTCTCAATCATTCAATTGTTACTAACAACTATTTTTTGTTTCATACCACACAAACCCCCAGAAAGCAGCCCAACCAGGTACCTATTTACTGCTAGGTAACAAATGCATCAGGGTGAAAGAATCTATGCCCATCTGTTTCCGCCCGCGGCCGGGATTCGAACCCCGGCCCTGAGGACTACGAGTCCGAGCGCTCTCCAGCTCAGCCGCGAGGCTCTATGTGTGTACTCACCTAGTTGTGTTTGCTAGTTGTGTTTGGGGGTTGAGCTCTGGCTCTTTGGTCCCGCCTCTCAACTGTCAATCAACTGGTGTACAGATTCCTGAGCCTACTGGGCTCTATCATATCTACATTTGAAACTGTGTATGGAGTCAGCCTCCACCACAACACTACTTAATGCATTCCATTTGTTAACTACCCTGACACTGAAAAAATTCTTTCTAACGTCTCTGTGGCTCATCTGGGTACTAAGTTTCCACCTGTGTCCCCTTGTTCGTGTTCCACCCGTGCTAAAGAGTTTGTCTTTGTCCACCCTGTCAATTCCCCTGAGAATTTTGTAGGTGGTTATCATGTCTCCCCTTACTCTTCTGTTTTCCAGGGTTGTGAGGTTCAGCTCCCTTAGCCTTTCCTCGTAACTCATTCCTCTCAGTTCCGGGACCAGTCTGGTGGCATACCTCTGAATCTTCTCTAACTTCGTCTTGTGTTTAACTAGGTATGGACTCCAGGCTGGAGCTGCATACTCCAGGATTGGTCTTACATAAGTGGTATACAGGGTCCTGAACGATTCCTTACACAAGTTTCTAAAGGCAGTTCTTATATTGGCCAGTCTAGCATATGCCGCTGATGATATCCTTTTGATGTGGGCCTCTGGGGACAGGTTCGGTGTGATATCGACCCCCAGATCTTTCTCTCTATTTGACTCTTGCAGGATTTCACCTCCCAGATGGTACCTTGTGTTCAGCCTTCTGCTCCCTTCGCCTAATTTCATTACTTTACACTTTCCTGAGTTGAACTTTAGCAGCCATTTTCTAGACCATTCCTCCAGTTTGTCCAGGTCGTCCTGTAGTCTCTGTCTATCTTCATCTGTTTTGATTCTTCTCATAATTTTTGCATCGTCAGCAAACATTGAGAGGAATGAGTCTATACCCTCTGGAAGGTCGTTTACATATACTAGAAACAGGATGGGTCCGAGTACTGAGCCCTGTGGGACCCCGCTGGTGACATCTCGC